CCCGGGGTTATTTGGACTCCAGATAGCTTGGTGAGGGGTTCTTAACCTATAGTGAGACCTGGGGTTTTTTTCGAGTTTTGTTTCTAGTAATGTGTCTGAAGAAATGAATATTTTCTTGGTTGCTTTATTTCCCATCTGAAAGAGATCAAATGCACTCCTGTGCTTTAACATAGGAGTCCTTTTATTTAATAGCTGGGAGAATTAGGTGCACATTTTAATCCTGCAAGTGTGGCTAAGCCAAATATGCCTCCTTACAGTTCCTGAAACTTGTGCTTAAAATAGGCTTCTTAAAAAATCTCCTGAGTAGCTTGGAAGATGCGGACCAGTCCTGGTAGCCAGAGGACTTCCTTTGCCTGCACTAGGAAATGTCCCAGGAGCACAAGTTTAGGATGGCTTCCTAACATGTGTGTTCCCTGTTGAGATCGCTGTGTCCAGGAATAGTCTCTGTAGCTGTGAATTAATTCAGGCTAATTTGATCATACCTAAATGTTTACTCTAGAATAGCTATGCTGGTTGGTCTGTATGGACAAGCCCTGGTGTTAAGGACCAGCTCTGTCTTAACTGGTTTCTCTTTAAAAAGTGCAGATATGGTGGAAATAAATGGCTTCCTTTGTGTCCTTTGAAATGAATGTAAATAACTGATAGCTTGCTTGATCTGGCATAGCACGGTGTCTTTTGCAAGAGTTCTTCAAACTTTCTTCTTCAAAGCAACCTTGCCAAATTCCCGTGAGAATGTACAAATTAAGGGTGAGAATCAAATTGCATGTTACTCTCTGGTAGAGTGTTGAAAATAAATAAGCTCACGGTTTTTAATCATTCCCTTCCTACTACGTTGACCTTCTGCTGCAGTAGGCTTGCTTCAAAACTCATGTGCATGCCTTTTTCCACCCAGGTCCCTGCAACCACCGTTCGGTGCAACGGGCAGCTCGTGTGACAGTCCTGTCAGTTGAATACTTTAATCAGTTTAAGGAGAGAGACTTGGATTTTTGTTTGGTTGGGTTTTTTAAAGAAGTTTGGTAATTAGCTGTTTAGGTGGGGTTTTGAAGCTCACTTTTTGGGTAGGATTAAAACATACTTAACCGAAGTGCAGAATGAAGGCTTAGGAGGAGGAGATTAAAAGCCAAGCATGGCAGGATATGTGTCCTTACGCTGTTGTGGAAGATGAAATGGGTAGTTCTGTACTTGTTCTGGTGTGTAGGCTGAACAGCTGGAGGATTTGGTGGTGGGCCTATTATTAATGTTCTTTGCCCACAATTGCAAAATAAGTATCTGTTTCACTTCCATGCTGCCAGGCAAGAAACTTAATTTTAAGAGAGAGCTGCAGCACATTCCAACTCCCTTGTTGCTCTCATCTCTTAAAGTGTGAATAAACATGATTTCTGAAGCAGTCTGCAAAAAAGCTTCTCTTCTAAAAAGCATTGCTTACTCACAAATAAATAAATAGCTTTAGAAAGAGGGGTAATTTTCTGTTCCCATCGACAGACCTTAAACCTGTACCAGCACTGTCAAATCTATTTGCCTACAGGTTGAACAGACCGACTGCTTAACTTACTTGAATTCAGTCATTCAAATTTAATGCAAAGAAGTTTAAGGTACCCTTTATATGGACCTGAGAAATGACCCACCTGGCTTTGCTCAGTGCAAAGAAGTATCTCATTGAAGTAAGTCCACGCACAGCTATTCTGATGTTGGCCATTGCTGTAAAGGGGAGCACAGCGTTACCTGTTCCAGGATTGATCTGTGTCCTGCCTCCTAAGCTGCAGCAGGGAGTGAATGAGCAACAAAGTCATTTTCAGAAAGAAGCTAGCAATCTGTCTCCACTGGTCTCCTTTTTCTTGTTGACAAGTGTGTGGGCTTGCTTTTTTTTTTCTTTTTTCTTTTTTCTTTTTTTTTCCTTTTTCCCCTTTTTGACAGTTTTCCTAGGTCTCTGCTGAAATGCTCCCTGGCACTTGCTATTGGTGTTTTTCACAGGCAGATCTCTGCATGTGTGATCCTAAATCCAAAGCGTTCTATTTCTAGCTCCCTGCCTGCCAGAGCTACAAGAATTCAGCTTGAAAAGCCTCATGTTGTAATACTAATATTTTAAGATTGGCCCGCTTTCTACGAGCCATTGTATGGCTGCTTTCCTGGTGGCCTGGACAGCTTCAGAGCGCAGCAGTTTCTCAATTGGAGTGCTCCTTATCTGGGGACTTTGAGTCATATGTTTTGATCTTATTTATATCTGTCTCCACTATTATGTTATACTAAAGATCGGAGTTAACCTGTTACAAAGAAGTCACAGTAACTGTGTGCAGCAGTTCTGATCTCTTCTTTTCTGCATCACATGGCAGCCTTGAGAAAATTCCTAGATTCCTTATTAAAATCATTGCTAATTGGACCTTAAAAGATTTTTATTTCCTAAAATCCTTGTCAGATTTAACTTGATGATCTTTTCACGCTCTGTTGGTCTTGTATTGTCTGTTTTTAATAGTGCTTATGTTTGGTGGCTCTATTTAGTGTGGACATAGGACCTGGAAGAAAACTTTGCACATTTCTTTTCTAGTTCCTTTTCCCCCTCCAAAAAAACCCAAGCCCCAGCAACCTGAAACCTAAACCCCTTACTTTTGAGGGAGCAGAGAAGGAACACCTAGACCTATTTACTCTTTTGAGCACAGAGATCCTCTTTTTGGAAGCAGGTAGGACACCAAGCGATTGGTAGCCCAGGGATCCAAAGTTCTGCATTATTGTTGTTGATCTGAGGTTCTTTTCTGTTATTAGGTCACTTACCTTTCTGGTACAGCTCTAACCCAGGCTTGTAGGTGGCTTCTTTCCTAGTCCCTTTCAGGTTTTATGGGTTCCCATCCTGATGAATCTGAGTCCAGACTTCCCATGAGTAACTTCTATTTAATGGATCTGAAGGCTCACTTTATAGTTTATCTAACAATTTGTCTGTCTCCTGAGCCATTTTTCTGTGTAAGCCTATGACCGCAACATTATGAGAAAATGGAAGAAACTACATAAATCCCTTCTGGGATTATGAAAGGCATGTAAAACTCCTTCTTGGAAAACAATATTGTTTTCAAGGCTGCTTGACTAATAAAAGGCACCTCCTCTGATCCTTCCAGGGAAATTCATATACAGGGAGAGGTGTTGAGGAGGTCCAGCGTGGAGACTTTTTTGTGTGAAGAGAGGAGGAGAGTGGTAGGTGGGAGGGAATTTGCCACCAAGATACAGAAGACTTAGCATGATATGCCTGCAGATTTGTTCCCTGAACAAAAATTGCATGTGGGGGTTGCCTCGTGACAAACTGTTTCTTGGCTGTCTGACACCGTAGCACCCGCAGGTACTGCGCTGCCAAGAGCTTTGCTGGCCTTGCA